TGCAGGTGACTCTGGAAAACCCTGGCATGGGCAAGAGCTGAAATCAGAAATGTTTCCTCATGGGAATGGGAATTCCCAGGGGAATGTGCTCCAGACAGCAGCATCCCAGTGGAATCCAGGAGCTCGGTGGCTGCTCTGCACTGAGAAGGTCAAGGAGAGCTCCTGGTGACAAAATTGGGTTTTGCCACAAGGACAAACACAACTTTGGGGTGTTCCAGGAAGGCTGAGACAAATCCACGGTCAGTGAATCTCTTTGTCCCGAATTTCCAGTCCCCAGAAGCCGGGCTGAGAGCTGGAATCACCTCTTTGGGATTCACAGCACACACACTGATCCCAAACGTGTGGGGTCACTTGGGATGCAACCCCTCCTGCCAAAAATGGATTATTCACTTTCCAGGGGCTCCAGGTTACACCAAACACAACTTTCTGTCCCAAAACACACCCAGTGTGCTGGCAAACATGGAACACAGACAGTTCCTCTTCCAGAGAGCCCCCAGCAGGAGCCTGAATCCCAAAATAACCCCACAAAACACACACACTGCCCAGAGCCTGCCCTGCTCCCCTCAGTCTGGGGGCACATGGAGCCATTCCAGCCTTGGCACGTGCACTGCCCTGAGGCTGGCCAGCACTGACCATTCCTCTGTCCATTTGGCACCAGGACAGACACAATGGGCCCAAACCCTGCAGTCTGCAGCCCTCTGGGGTGCTGAAAACAGCCATAAACCCCAAAAGTGCTGGTTTGATCTGTTAGCACCCCGAGCAAGCCGATGTCTTCGAACATTTCTGTGTCTTATGCCTCAATTAATGCATCTTCATTTCTGCACCAATGTTTGCAGCCTTCTCTCCCTGTTAAATGAGCATTAATTCTGCCACTCTCTGAGTTCTGAGTTTGGGCTCCCTGGCCCCATTTCCACTGTCAGAACTCGTGTTTGCAAATGTCAGATGCCAAATTCCTCAATTCCTTTATTCCTTAATTCCATTATTTGTGAGGTTGTGACAGGCCCCACAAAGCTGAGGCCACTTCATCCCCAATCAGGGAACACCTCCATCCCCCCATGGAGTGACCATGAAATTCCACACAATCAGGGCCATATTTTCAATTAAAATCCACCTTGGAACATTCCCAGGCTGCTCCCAGTGCAATTCCTTCCCCCCAGCCTGGTGTGGGTGTGTTTGCTCTGTCCTGGTGGTGAATTCCCAGGGAAAAACCCCAGGGGCTGCTCAGTGGCGACCACATCCCTCACCCTCAGGCCTCTGCTGCACTTTTAATTACAACACTCAGGATCCTTCCTTCAGATCCTAAACCCGAGGAAAAGGAGCTTTTCCTTTGCACAGCATCCATGAAATTCCCTGCTCCAGCGACCCCCATGTGCTGCTGGTTCCTGGACTGAGGGAGAGATTCCCTCTTTTCCCTTTTGCCATAGAAGATGAGTTTGCCCAAGGCCACAATCACTTTAACATCAGTTGTGCTTTGTGCCCACACTGAATTGTAAGGATCATTTTCCATCAGCAGCCGTGATTGTAAATGGATAATTCAGGTTTGTTTTGCCTGGGGTGCATTGCAGTTTGACCACTGGTTTAATTTTAATTATACCCAATTTGGGTCTTTATTTCTAGGTGTAGGCAGAACTTTGGGATGAGGAGTTTGGCACAAATCAGCTGCTGAAATGCTGGCCTGAAACAATTCTGAGAGGGGTTTACACAGACCCATTCCCCCATTTTTTAGGTTGAGCCTAAACCCCACCAGCATCCCCAGATTCCTTTGGCATCCCTCCCTTTGCAAGAGGACATTTTCCATCAGGATTCCAATCAATGACCACACAGCCACGTCACTGGATGGAAAATTCCCTTCAGGCACTGCTGGCCTCGTTGGATTCCTCAGGGAGAGGAGGAAAGGATGGGATAAAAGCTTGGGATGTTTTGTGGAGAGGGAAACCAAGACAGGAGATGAGCTAAAATCACCCTGAATTTTCCGCACTTCCCATTCAGTTATTAGCACGTAAAAACCACATTAAATACTTGATAATGGAAGGAATTTAAAGGATTAACAGGAAATTAATGAATAAAGGACCCTCTCTGAGTCTTTCTGAAAGCAGCCGCTCCACATTGTTTTAAAAGGCACCAAGTTGAACCTTCTCCAACTGCTTTTTAATAAATGTAAATCATATTCCAAAGCAGGGACGAAATGCCAGCAGTTGAGGGGTGGCTGAGCCATCCATGGCATGTAAATGAATTCCCTGCCTGGATATCAGGATGTGGATGTGCAGCCTTCAGGAATTAAATGAGCCCAACTTGCGCAGCTTGTAAAGAGCTTCCCAGGGCTCCCCAAAATCCCTTTTATTATTTATGTGGGAAAAGCAGAGGAGCAGCAAGGGGGAAGAGTTGCAGGTGACACCAGGAGTCAGTGAAACCTGACAGAAAATGCTGAATTTTGGTGAAATTGAGGGCAAATAAATTAATCATGAACAAGGGAAATGCAAAAAAACACTGGGGGATGTAATTGGATTTACACACAAAAGTAATGGCAGCATTCCTGCAGCTGGGAGAGCAGATCCCAGGAATGATGGAATTATTGAAGCTGGGAAAGGCCTCGAGGGTGTTCCTAAATCCAACAGAACTGCCTGGAAATCATCATTCCTAAGGGACTGGGAGATCCCCTCTGCCTTGTTCCCAGCCTGGATTACTCAGGGGGGTTCTCTGGCTCAGTTCAGTGTCAGATGGGCTCTCAAATCCCCACTTTCCCACAGTTCTCCTGTTTCCACTCCCTTTAAATGAGGGATTGTCCCAGTTCAATCTCCAGCTCTCAGACAAGGAGGAGAGCTGACAATTCCTTTTCCCCATGGATATTTTCCCAGCTCTGTTTCTCCCCAAACTCCCTCTTTAGACCCTTCAAAGGCTCTGACCTCGCTGAATGGGAATGTCCCCACAGCAAGGTCCCGCTCAAAACCTGGGGTGAGCAGAGCTGCCCAAACTCCAGCTAAACCTGGATTAAGATCCTTGTTTCAGGAGACATGTCCATGTTTTCTCTGGGTGATTTTACTCTCTGTATTTACTCTCTGTGTTTACACCCTGTAGTTACTCATCCGGCCTGTTGTAGAGGAGTGAGTTGGAGCTCAGGCCCCAGCCCCTGGTCTGAGGGACAGCACAGAAATCTGGGACAGCACCTGCAGGTGCCTCACCCCTCTGCCCACCTGGAGCCAGGGTGCTGCAATCAGGATTTCCAGCTGCAGAAAATGCGGAATATTGGCTTTGCTGTGCTTTCCCAGCTGCAATCGGGGCACTGAGAGCCACTGAAGGCCCCTGAAACATGAAAATTTCCCCTTCAGAGAGCTCATCCCAACCAGTTTGTCATTTATTCCTGTGTTTTCTTTGGCATCCAGGGGATTGCTGGAAGTACAAACCTTCCCTGGCATTTGATCTCTTCCCTTTATTTCAGGTCCGCACAAGATTTCACACACAAAGCCAGGCTTTAGTCCTGGGGCACACACAATCCCTGGTTTTATTGGGATTCCAGGAATCCCCAAACTGCCACAGCAAGGACCTGCAGGAGTCTATGACAGAAAATCCAAGTTTTAAGATATTTAAAGCAGGGAAAGGACTCCAATTCTGTCTGTGCCTTGGAATACTCGGGGAAAGCAGGGGACAAAATTATTGGACACAATTCCAAAGGTTAGGCAGTGCTGCACTGGGAACATGAAGAAAATCCCAGCACCTACAGCTCAGGGAAACTCTTATGGGTTTATTTTATTTATAAGACTCCTCTAGAGCTTCTCCAGCCCTTTGGGAAGCTGAAAAACTTGAACCTGCAAAGGGAATCCAAATAAATTCAGCTCCAGGTAAGCGGGATATTCCTAATGCAGCCTTTTTTTCCCTGTGCAATTTAACAAATGAGTTTCCAGCGTCTGACAAGTTGTCTGGGAAAATAGAGAAGCTCAGATTAATTCCAGTTTGGGAGAAATGAGAATTCAATATTTGCTGATTTCCAGCCACCCACTCTGGAGCTCAGAGCTGTGGAGGATCCATCAATCCCAACCTCCTCCTCCTGCCGTGAGGAATGGGATGTGCAGGATGGATCCTCACCCGAGGGTCGGCTCCCTGCCCTTGGAATTCCTGAGGAACCATCCCCATCTCCCTGCCCTTGGAATTCCTGAGGAACCATCCCCAGCTCCCTGCCCTTGGAATTCTTGAGGAACCATCCCCAGCTCCCTGCCCTTGGAATTCCTGAGGAACCATCCCCAGCTCCCTGCCTTGCCTCTCAGAGTCTCTGCCTGCTTTATTTCCATCCTCTGGTGTTTGTATCACTCCCATCCATCACATCCCTATGGAATGCCTTGGAGTGAGGTTTGGGAATGCCTCGTGGGATGTCTGAGCCCAGGGAATGAGGTTTGGGAAAGCCTCCTGCGCTGCCTGTGCCCAAACTCAGGGATGGAGTTTGGGATGGAAGGAACCACCCTGTGGAAGCCGCTCCTGAGGGAATCTCTGCCCCAACGTGCTGGGAAGATCCTGGGTGCCCAACCCAGCCAGCCCCGCTGCAGCTGCTCCGGCAAAACCCCACGATCAATCCGGGACCGGGATCATCGCAGTGCTCTGCGCAGCGCCAGAGCGGGGTTGGTCCCGCAGCGTTCCCGGGATGATCTCACCGGGATCCAGCCCCCAGCCCGGAGCTTTTCCGTGCTGAACAACAGCCGAACTCCCGGCTCAGGAGCCCTGCATCGATCCGCCGGCTCTGGCAGCGCTGGGAGCTGAAATCCCTGCGGGATCCCGGGGCTCAGAGCCGCGGGCTGCTCCCCCGGGAAGCACAGCCCCAGTAATGGCACAACCAAGAGAAAAAGGGCTGTGAAATCCGGGGAAATTCTGCCACAGCACCGGCCACGGCTCGGCAGAGCCCTGAGAATCCTCGGGTATGTTTTCCAAGCGCTGTTCGGAATTGTTATCACCCGGAGATGGTTCCCTCCTTCCCGACCACAGAGCCCAGCCCTAAATTCCCGTAATAAACTTACAGCACGTCAGGAATCGCATCGCGAACGCTCCAGCCGCTTTCTCCCCAGGCAGAAGTGCCTCTGGATCCCAAATTCCTTAAGGGAATGTGCCTGCGCATCCCTGGTGTGTCACATCCCTGTCCCGCTGGGCACCCTACACCCTGCCATCCTCTCCTCGGTTATTCCCGGGGAGCTGCTCCATCCCGGAGCTCCATCCCGGGAGCTGCTCCATCCCGGAGCTCCATCCCGGAGCTCCATCCCGGAGCTCCATCCCGGGAGCTGCTCCATGTCGGAGCTCCATCCCGGGAAGCTGCTCCATGTCGGAGCTCCATCCCGGGGAGCTGCTCCATCCCAGAGCTCCATCCCGGAGAGCTGCTCCATCCCGGAGCTCCATCCCGGAGCTCCATCCCGGAGCCGCTCCATCCCGGGCCGTTCCTTTGGGAATCCCATCCCTTACCAGCCGCATGGTGAAGTTTCCCAGGAGAAGGAGGCAGGAACGCGGCTCCTCCCGGCGCTGCCTCCCGTGGAACAGCAGGAGACAGAGAAGCTGCGAACCTCGGAGTTGGGCACCAGAAAAACCTCAAAGAGAGGGAGGGGGGAAAAAATGGGAAGAGCCAGAGCGGGAGCGAGCAGTGACAGCCAGCGAGAGCAGCAACTGCTGGCACGGCTCCAGCGCAGGGATGGATCCGCTGTCATCCCCAGCCTGCAGCCATGCAATGGGGAAACTCGGATTTACGGGCGCTTCGGAGCCGCTCTGACCCCTGCAAGGAGCGTTTGGCGGGGAATCAGCGCGGCTGGACCGAGAGGGAATGGCGGGGTGGATGTGTGCAGCACGGAAATACAGCAATGCCATATTCTACTTTACATAATCCGTTTAATAGATTTGATTTTATGTATTTTATCTCATATAGTCTATTTTCTATACTCTATATTCCATATTATATTATATATACTACATAATAAATAATATATAATACATTATATAATATGTAATATGTAATATGTAATATATAATATATATTATATATTCTATATTCTAGATTATATATTCTATATTCTAGATTATAGATTATATGCTATACGCTATACGTTATATGTTATATATTACATATTATATATTCATTTTATATTTCTATTTCATAGATTCTATTTTATATATTTTATTTTATAGATTCTATATTCTACATTCTGGTTTATATTTTATATAAATAAACCCAGCTGCCAGCACCAACTCCAAAGAGCTCATTCCATCAGCTCCTCAATGGGAATTTTATTATACACAATTCCAACCCCAAATCTGCATCCAGGTGGCTTCACTGGGGTTTACGATGCTCTTCAGGCACAAATTCCTTAAGGGATCTTTCCCTAACATTGCCAAAAATCCATTTTCTGGAGGTAATTTCATTGGAGGTGGTGCATTGTCAGTGTCCTGAGCCTAAACTTGTGCAAAGATTTCTGCAGAAATCTTTGAAACACTTGGAAAACACTGGATTTATCCCTGGAAACACCTGGAGATGGCTTTGGATGCTTCCTGAGAACTCAGTTTTCGTGCTGGGAAATTCCCCCTTCAGTCCTACCTGGTTACTGAATGAAACCCAATGTCACAAAAAGAACTTTCTCTGCTATAAATTCCCTGCCATTCACAGGAAATGCCTTTGGGATGTGCAGGGAAGGATTTCCAATGCAAAGTAAGGAATAACTGATTCAAGTGGGATCTGCAGCACTTGGGGCCCTTAATGAGCTGTTGGAGAAAATTAATTTCCATGTGTAATATACTGAGAGACTAGGAGGAAATCTGGGAGTTTAATTAATCACAGCATTATAAAAAAAGGGAATTGGATATAATTGTAAGTAAATATTTCTTAATTGTTATTCCACTTCCATGGCCAATTTAGAGACATTTCCCTGGATACTGTTCCTGGTTCAGGCTGTGAGATATTTATTGGTCCAACCATAAATTCCACATTTTTTGCAACAATGATGGATTTTCAATGGCTCTGTTCCAAACCCCAAACATTTAAGGCACAAACCCCAATCCCAGTCCAAGCAGAATCTCTTTCCCAGGAAAAGCAGCAGGGATGGTGCAGATTCCCATTAATTCCTCCTTCAATTGGATGCTGTCATTGCCCCTTTATTATCCCTAATTAATTGCCCTGCCCAGCACCTCTTGTGTCTGTTCATTCTCTTAACAGCTTTATTATGGATTTTGTTCCATTTAAATCTTCCCAGTGTTTTTTTTTTTTTCCATCCCAGAGCAAGAACCAAGAGCTCTCACAGTGAATTATGGATCTCAGCTCCTCGAATCCCTCCCAAATGTTTATTCTGAGTGTCCTTGTGCTGTGCAGGATGAATGGAACTCTTGGAAAATCCATTTTTCTTTCCAGGGGGAGCTGCCCTTGCTCCCTTAAAACCCAACCCCGACTGTCACAGGGCTTAAATCAAATCCAGGCCTTGCATCCATCAGCCTGGGGAGGAATGAATGGGAAATCTCCCAAATCCCATCCTGCTCCCCATGGACATGGCTTAGGTTGGGTCAAATGCCCTTCCCAGCCTTTTCCTCCCGGAGCAGAGGGATTTCAGGAGCTGAAACTCCAAAGATTTGCGAGGCAATGTGAGGGATTATCTGCAGGGAATGGTCATGGTTCACTCAGAAAATATTTGAGGGGTTTTGGTGCTGCTGAGAGGAAAAAATCCCTGGGAAAATTGAGTGTATCCATTGGCTCTGGTGCTTTAGGAAAACCAACCAGAATTCATCTAGAAACATTAAATATCATATTTAAATATGAAATCTTTATCCAACCAGAATTCATCTAGAAACATTAATCATCGTGTTTAAATATGAAATCTTTATCCAACCAGAATTCATCTAGAAACATTAATCATTGTGTTTAAATATGAAATCTTTATCCAATCAGAATTCATCTAGAAAAATTAAACATCCTATTTAAATATGAAATCTTTATCCAACCAGAATTCATCTAGAAACATTAATCATCGTATTTAAATATGAAATCTTTATGTTGGAGAGCAAATAGTAAAAGAATAGAGTTATTTTACTCCTGCTCAGCCCTGGGGATGCAAATCCAGTGGGAAATGCTCTTCCATTGTCTGGGAATGGCGTTCCTGCTGTTCCTCAGGGGCCTGCTCCAGTTAATTAAGGGATTTAATTAGTCATGAGCGGTGCCTGGGGACTGAGATAAACGCTCTCTCCTGATTTATAACATTCCAGAGATTGCATCAGTCTAAACAAAGGAAAATTGGGAATTATCACTGATGGATGAGCCTGGCTGGGATCTGGGGGAATCCCTTCAGGAATTCAGGACAGGACTCAGGGATGGAAAATCCCAAAAATATGGAATGGGGGGATTTTCCTGCATTCCTGGGGCACTTCCCATGGCAGATCCTGCACTGGATTCTTGTGGATCCCTTCCAGCCCAGGGACCCCAAAGCCCCACTAAAGTCCCAGACCCCAGGTTTATTCTGAAATGCTGAGTTTTGCCTTCCCAGTATCCAAAAAATGAAATTCTGGGCAGACAGGAGCCAGTGTGGCCATGGAGCTGCTCCCAGCTCTGCTCCTGTAAATCCACATCCCAAAAATCCCGGCTTAAAATGAACCATTGGCACATTGGACAGGTAAACCCAGCTTAAAATGAACCATTGGCACATTGGGCAGTTAAACCCAGCTTAAAATGAACCATTGGCACATTGGACAGGTAAACCCAGCTTAAAATGAACCACTGGCACATTATCCAGGGAATTCCTGATTTTCTACCAGCTCCACTAATCCCAGTGAGGGATCTGCCCTTTCCCAGTGCAAACACTGCTCCCTGATGGAGTCCTGCCTGCGCTTTGGTGATTATTTGGTGTTATTTGGTGATGATTTGGTTATTGTTTGGTGTTATTTGGTGATTATTTGGTGCTATTTGGTGCTATTTGGTGTTATTTGATGATGATTTGATTGTTTGGTGATTATTTGGGGTTTATTTGGTGATTATTTGGTGTTATTTAGTTATTGTTTGGTGATTATTTGTTATTATTTGGTGATGATTTGGTGTTCATTTGGTGATCATTTGGTTATTGTTTGGTGATTGTTTGATGTTATTTGGTGATTATTTGGCTATTGTTTGGTGTTATTTAGTGTTTATTTGGTGTTATTTAGTTATTGTTTGGTGATTATTTGGTATTATTTGGTGATTATTTGGTTATTATTTGGAGTTATTTGGTTATTATTTGGTGATGATTTGGTGTTATTTAATGATTATTTGGTAATTATTTGGTGTTATTTAGTGATTATTTGGTATTATTTAGTGATTATTTGATGTTATTTGGTGATGATTTGGTGTTATTTAGTGATGATTTGGTGTTGTTTGGTGATTATTTGTTGATTATTTGGTGCTATTTAGTGATTATTTGTTGATTATTTGGTGTTATTTAGTGATTATTTAGTGATTATTTGGTGATTATTTGACATTATTTTATGATTATTTGGTGATTATTTCCATTCTGAGAACTGTGTTATCCTCTCCCCAGCAGCCTGGCCTGCCAAGCCTGGATCATTGAGGCCAAAGCAGAGATGGAATCAGCGCTTGTGGGGTTTGATAAAATCCACAATGACATCAAACCCCCCCCAAAGCCACAGAGGACAAAAACCCTGTGAGAGCCAGGGCAGGAAAATGATCTGGCTTTGAAATTCACAGCCCACAGACACCAAAGCAGAGGAAACCTGGGCTTATACCAAAGATTGCCAGGATTTTCATGGAAGGTTTATTTCAAAATAAACATTTTATTCTGCATTAAAAGGGGCTGGTGCTGGGCAACACCACCAGGGATGGTTCAAAAGCACTGGTAAATAATAGATTAATTCCTGTATCAAAGGACATTTGGGTGGCTTCTTCAATATTTTTAAATCTTAAATGAGGTGCTGCTGTCCTTTGGTGCTGCATTTCTGGTACAAAACAAAAGTTAATTAACAAATTAATTCCTGTATCAAAGGACATTTCTGTGGCTTCTTCAGTCCTTGCTCTCCTTTTTTTTGTGCTC